GCTGCTGAGAGCTGTGTGAGATTTCTTGTTTACTCCTCACACAGATGCTAATGTCAGTACAGTGCTTACTTTGAGGTCTCAGCAGAGGGTAAATGTCTTAAGCCTTCTTATGTTATGCGTGGGGTTCTTTGGGGAGATGCTGGTCAAAATTCTTCAGAGCAGCACAGTTTGGAAAAAAAGATTTGGTGAAAACCTTATTTGACTCATCCCTTCCACCCTGTTTCTATGAATCAGCCTCATGTGAGCATTGAGTTAATTAAGCAGACACAGCTGGTCTGGCTCACAGTGCCACTGGTGGGTACTTCAAATGGCAGTAACTTCTATAAGGGAAAAAGGGATGCTGAATTTTGCTGAACATGCACCATTTCTGCCAGCCCACCTGATCCCAGCATCATCATCTCTAAGAAGCTTGTGCTAGAGGATTTGGCAAATGGACATTCAGTTGTATGCTGCACTAGAGGACAACCTGTGGTCACTGAAATCCTCCTCAGGGACAAATTCTCACTGCTTCAAGGTCTGTGGCTGCTTTAAAAGTGTTCACCCACAGAGAAGATGCAGTGGTTTCAGCTGCCCTGGATTACTGACACGCAAGGGGCACCGCTGTGGTTTGCTCCACATACTTCAAAGCCTGGCAAATGTTTCTCCTTCACCTGCTTTATAGATCCTGAGAAGAACGGGGAGATCTAAGCTGGGATGCATCTATGCTGTGTTAGGAAACCCAGGGGGTGTGCTTTGGTCTGAGATCTGAACGTCTGTTCAAATGCAGTTTGAGCTGAATGCTCTCCTTGCTGTCCATATTGCAGATGACAAAGGTTACATGTGCAACCCTGTCATCAGAAATGCACAGAAAAACATTGGAGGCAGAACCTTTGGATGCCTTAACCATCACCCTCGTGTTCCATCTCCTGATACGTGTGCTTGGTGTGAAGAGATTCTTTGTTGTCTTTGCCTCATCCCTCTACCTCCAGACATTCAGTTTTGGATGCAAATTGTGGATCAAAATTATAGACTTCTTAAGGTTGGAAAAGACCTTTAAGATCATCTAGTCCACCTACCACTATTACTGCCTACTAACCATGTCCCTGAATACACCACAACATGCCTTGAGCACCTGCAGGGACAGTGGCTCCACCATCTCCCTGGGCAGACTGTTCCAGTCCCCAAATACCACTCCAGCAACTATCTTTCACAGAGCAAAGATGGCAACACAGTTAACCACAGTACAAGCAAGCATGTGGGAGTATTGTAGCCTTAGGCATGAGGCTATCATCCTTAAAACTAATTGCCAACAAATTGAAATTGAAACAAAGAAGAAGGAAGGTAGCAGCTCAGCCAGCCCCGAGTAACTTGGCTTTTCCCATCTCATTTAAATGCTTTCCTATTATTTACTTTCATGTCAATTTTGCTGACTAACTACAAATGATGCAATCAAGGCTGCGTGCATTTACATCTGTTCTAATAACAGAAGTTGCTGGTCAGTCCCCTGACTCTGACCACCCATCCATATCTCTGACACCTAAGCTGATGCACTGCGATCATGCGTCTCTGCAGATCCAGCCAAGAGATGCAGCTCTCCTATCTCTCCCTGGAGTAATGCTTCAGGAAGGCACAAAGGACAGCAGAAGGAGCTGAGATGGGAGCATATCAAATGGAATTTTCCAAGCTCACAGTCCAGAAGAGGGAAGCCTTTCGTTGGAAAGTGTTCCCAGCCTCCAGGGATACTATTCACAAAGTCAAGCTGTAATGGCTGACTTCCCCATGAAGGAGAGCTGGCATAATGCTTACTGCAATGATTTGCTATTCTTTCTGGATGGCACAGGCCTGGTCACCTGGAAACACTTTACCTCTGTGGCTGCCTGACAGAATAGCAGAGTAAACTGAACAATCACCCAGCCAACAAAGCAGGAAAGAAAATACTTTCCAGAATGAATTGGAGAAACTCTGTGGGTATTTCTTTTTTTGTGTGAATACCAACAGGCCCCTTGATGTTCAGCAAACCAAACTGGGGGTATTGGCTGGCATTTGTGCTACTGCAGTCACCTGCACTCCGTGTGTTGAAAGGCTGAGTAGAGCTGGATGCATCCCTAGCTGCCTGGCCTGGTTGTGCACAATATGACTGTTGCTAACACATTTTGGCTAAATGCACTAATGTAGACACTGAGCTGCTTGGGTTTGCTATAAGACAGGGAGGGGAATGCTTGTATAGAGGATGACTTTGGGACAGATGCTCAAGTGTTCAGGAGCGCGTGGAAAATGAAGGAGGATGGCACACAGTGATGAAGAAGGTGATACAGAATCCCATCCTGCAGCTGGTGGCTGGGCTGTGGAGCTCAAGATGCCAGCAAACAGATTAGTGCAATAGGAAGGGAATTTTGTAGAAATCTGATTGGATCCAAACAGAGATTTATTTGTGAAGATCTGGAATTCAAAACAAAATGGAACAGCTTTTTCATTACCCATCTATCTCCCAGCAGTGACTCATAGCTCTACAGCTTGGAACTCTTTCATCAACCCCTGCGAATTAATGCAAACTGACAAAGGTCAGTGGCACACAAACCAGATGGCTTAATGCAGACGGGGAGCAGGAGACCTTAAACCTGAGCAGGGCTTAATCCTCTGACTGTGGAAAGGATGCTTTTGGTATAATAGTGGTAGGGATCCAGACAGAGTGCCCTCCAATTCAAAGACTGGTCATATCCAGAGACCAAGTCAGGCAGTCTCTGGGGTATTGGGGTTTGGCCGTGTTCTTCCTTAGGATTTTACTGGGTTTAGGGAATATGTCTTTGAGGTGCTCTGGCAAAAGAGTTGAAAAATATATACAAGTAGAAGATAACCTATGCTCTTATACTACTACTTCATGCTTACTTAAAAACAGCCAGCCCCTGAGCAAACAACACTGCTGAATATACAGTCTTGAGCACTAAGTCAGGCACTGGTCTAAGGTCAGATCACTACAGGTGTGGAGCTCAAGAGGCAGTGAGGGGTTTCTGCCCAGGCAGAACTTCTGCAGCAACTACAGCTTCTTCCCTGTCTCGATCCATACTCGTTCTCCAACAGGGCAACAGTGGGCACCTTTGATTGCTGCAGCAAGTTTGCTCAGTAAATAGGAGGCTGAGAAATCTTGTATTTTTTCAGCACGTCTCCACCTGCTAATATACACCCTTAGAGTGAATCAGATGGGGCTATACACTTTTTTTAAAAAAAAAAACAAAAAAACAGCAACCAACCGATGATTTGCTCTGAAGGGAAGGGCTGACAACTCTTTGCAAAGTTGCAAAGCAAAAGCATTCACTTTCCCCTTACTATAAGAGCACCCATCTTTGCACCTGCTTGTGTATTTTACAACCTCTCCTCTCTCCTCCAGCCATCTCCCAGCAGCCTCCAGGCCTGGACAATTGCATAAAAGTACAAACTGATGAATTGAACATGCACTCATGTCCGTATTAAAATGCATTAGCATTACCTAAGGAAGCAAGAAGGCTGTAAGCTTTGAGCAGGAATCCTGATAGAGAAGAAAGAGTGTGTCTCATTTGGCAAGGATGAAACTAAGTAGGTGTGGCCAGTCAATGAAAAGAGCTTAATTTTAAACAATCATTATCATCAGTAACAACACCAAACATCAGGATTTTCTTAGAAGAGAAATCATACAGCTCATTTGGTGTCAATAAATCCAGCTCCTGACTGAGAAAAAAAACAAAAAACAAAAAAACCCACCAACAACAAAAACAAAGTTTAAATATTTCAGCACTTAGGAACTGACTCATTCTGAGCTTGAAATTCTGAGGTTTGAAGCAAAAACTCTAGCTATGCTTGAGCTTAATGAAGAAGTACACAGACTGTATCCTTAGGAGCTAAATTGGCTTCTGCTGCCACTGGGTTGGATTTACAGTTTTGCCCCAAACTTTTCTTTCTCTGTTACAAAAAGGAAGTACTCCTCCTGATCTTGCATGTAGGCACCAACTTCTGACAACACAATGTCCTCTCAGAGAATTGCACACCCCAAAAGGAAGTGGATGCCTGTCTCTGACAGGCACACCCCACATGTAGGAAACACCTCTCCCAAAGAAACCTGGAAGTTTTCTCCTACAAAAATGTGACACAGCCAAGAGAACGCACAGCTCTGCCTTAATGACATCCTACTGCTCCCATAGGCTCACTCATGTCTTGCTAAAGCAAACTTTCCTTCCCTAAGGCAGAACTTTTGGGATGAGAGCAGATGCAAAAAGAGGGCAGGTTACACTGGCCCAGGTGGGAAAGGGGAAAGCAGGAGTCTAGGTAGGACACTGAGATTAAAACAAGATAAAGAAAAATTGATATGAATAATGATGGGAGTTGTGGAACTGGGCACCAGCACAGAGAGGTGGTGGTGTCCCATCCCTGGAGACAGCCAAGGTCAGGGTGGTTGGGCTCTGAGCACCTGATGGAGCTGTGGGTGTCCCTGTTCAGTGCTAAGATTATTCTATGAGTCTGTGAAAATGCATTTCCTCCTCATTTTTCCCCCTTCCTCTTTGAAGGATGGAGAAAGAATAAAAGATAGAGGAGAGGAAAAAAAAACTTTAGCCTTTGCAACAAGGATACAAAAAATGAAGTGAGAAAGGGAGCTTGCTGGAAAGCATTTCTTTCCTTTGGGCACTGAAGTGTTCTGACATCAAGCCTTCTGTCCTCATTAAGAAGCCCCAAGTCTAGCATTGTGACATCTTTATTCACATGCCCCAAGTCTTCAAAGCCTTCAGGAGATTTCCTTGGTGGATTTAACATAAAAAAATATCAGCAGATGAAACAGACCAAAAGGCAGCCCAGTGCATCCTTGTTTTAATTAGACCTTGGGTGGAGGAAGCAGGGGGGTGAGGAAGGAACAGAACTATTGCAAAGAACATTAAGGCATGAATGCAAACATGTGTATGCAATCCTGATCAACAGGACTCAGCTTTTCTTCTTTCATAAGCTTTTGGTGTAGCAGAAAGACCCCAAGTCTCACAGCAACAGCTATTTTTTTTTTCCCCAGTCTCAAAACAGATCCACATTCAGCTCTGGAATAAGAAATACTGCAGGTGAAATACATATTTCAGTTGCCTAAACAAAAAGCTTGAAGCTTAACTAAAAAGCAGCAAAAATAAAATAAATAAAAAAAAAAGCTAGATGCTACAGAGAAAAGCTGAGCATTCACCAGCAGAATCCAGGAAGAACCACTGCAGTCTGCTGCTCATTTTTTATTTATTTATTTATTTATTTTTTTTTTGTTAAAATTTTCTTGTGAATTTCCAAGCCATTTGTTTGACTTCTGAGTCACTTCTGCTGCTTGAAATGTGCAGTGTGACCCACTTGGATATGCAGGTGATGCAGCATATTGGATGGTCCCAGTGGGGTGACAGCAGTTCTTCCTGCTCTGAATCTGCTTGTAAATTAAGTGAATAACTTTTCTCTTTATTATTTTTGGCAAATATTCACTACACTTTTTTTTTTTTTAAATTGCCTTTTCTGTTTACCACCCCTTATACCAAAACACATTCACTTGAATGCTTGTGAGAAGCAAAACCACAAAGAACTGCAGTGAAATTAATTTGCAACAGTTTCAAATGAATATTTATGAGCCTTCTCCTCAGCTTCTAGCCAGGCCGAGGACAAAGTTAGCTTCTTCTTGCAGAGAGCAAATATCAAATAATAATTAAAAATTCAATTAAAGAAAACAGAACTTACACTCTATTCCTTTTAGGTGCTCTTGGGCCATCTCTGGTGATTTCCAAGGGAACTCCAAGCTGCTATCAGGTTTCCAGCTCTTAAAGCTCAAGTTTTAAAGGACAACATTAGCCAGTTAAAAGCAACATCGCTTCCAGCCCCCAGGAACAGGTGCACTGCTGGGGTTCCACGGACAAGAACCACAGAATCATAAGGGTTAGGAAAGATCACCTGGGCCATCACATCCAATCCCAGCCCACCCCCACCATGCCCATAGCTACATCCCTCAGTGCTACACCTCCACAGTTCTTGAACACCTCCAGGAATGGTGACTCCAGAACCACTGTCTGGGCAGCAGTGCCAATGCATTACCACTCTGAGAAGTTTTCCCTAATATCCAACCTGAGTTCGACATCTCCATAGAGGGCACACAGTTTCAGCATACGAGCAACATAACAGTCATCTGTAAAATCTAAGAAACATATTTAAATTGTCAACAGCAACAACAACAACAAAAAAAAAGAAATAAAAGCATTCCCCATTCCTGCCCATGTCAAGACATACTAATCTAGTCTTAATTAGAGCATTATTAACTAAATCTTACACCTGGCCCTACTCATTTACAGCTATTCGTGTTTACAATTGCACTGATTACTAACTACAGCAATGGACTGGGTTTTTCTTTCCAGCATCCACCACCCTCCTCCAATTTTCACTTTGCAACAGGCTCGCATTGGGGTAGGAGAAAAAGAAAGAGATCTATGCAGAAGCAAGAGGAGTGCTAGGAATACCAGCAGCACAGATGAGCTACCGCCCTCACAGAGGCAGATCCGCCCAGGGACAGGGCAATAAATCCCCCAGCAGGCTTAAATTCCACTTAATTACAGAACCAGCTGATACCTAATAGAAATGAAGTGGATCCACATGCCTGCTCTCAATTTGTAGCCTGTGGTTGTGAGCCAGTCAGAAAAGTGGGGGTATTGATTTGATTATCTTGTTTGTCCACCTAGACTTGCTAGTTGCATCTGTTTTTCCCAGTTCAAATGAAGTGTTTTCCACTGATTAATTTTAATTTGTTTTCTCTTCAAGTGCAAGATTTGTTTTTTATTGACAAGCAAGCATCCATGTTTGTAAGCACCTACAATTAAGCAGTGCCCCTGCACTGCTAAAAGCTAACACTCTCCCTATTTTGCTGGAAGTACTTCATGCATCGACTGAAACCTCCTCTTTTGCCTACATAGCTTCTAGAAAATACCAACCTGCATCACACAATTACTAGTCTCCTCATGGATACATGCAGCCTACAAGCTAGGAAGAGCCTGACCTCCCTCCAGCCACACGCTTCCAGATCCATCTCCCCACCACTCCACCCCCTCTGCCATCTCAAGGCAGTGCTGTACCCATTGAGCTGCTTTTATAAGAAGGCAAGGAGCACCAGCAAGCCCTTTTCCCAGCACCTTGCACCTCAAGCCCCTGGTTCCTGTAGGCATAAGCTGCCATGTTCTATTACACCCACATGCAGCTGTAGTGAAAGACAGCAGGAAGAGGTTAAAGGAAAAAAAGGCTCTTTTGAGAGTGCTGGAGATTTTACTCCTTTTTGAAAGCCAGACCTTGGGTGTATTTCAATTAGTGCCACAAATGCATTCATTTCAGCCTAGTTCATTAGCAAGTTGTGCTCCACTCAGTCATTAAGAGCAGAGAAATATGAGTAATAAAATGCCAGGCTATCTGTATTTTGCTTAATGCTCCTCAAACACATCAACAAGCCATAAATGCCAACAGGGCAAGAAAGTGCATAGTAGGAAGGGATTTATGCACTCACAAAACCCTCAGCTTCAAATTGCACCTCACCAGAGAAACACAGGGCTGCTCCTCCTGCTGCTGGTGCCAGCGCCTGCTCCTCTCAGGCTTCCTCTACAAAATGGAGGTAGAGAGCATCTGCAGAAACACAACAAGAGATGGCTTCCATCATGGACTCCCTGGCTGAGAAAAGCTTGAGGAATGAGGCAGAATGGAGAGTTTGCCTCTGGCCCTGTGACATTCCTGTCCCTGGTTGTTTTTGAGTGCAGCACAGGCAGAATACCTGCAACTTCAAAGAGATGCCACTTGTAGTGTGACCTACAGCTCTTTGGGACCAACAGCAAAACAGGTGGTGTCACCAGTGAATAATCAGTGCTCCCCCCATTATCTGGTTTGCAGATATCTGCAGTCATGCACATATCCTACCATCTGCTGCCCACTGCCACTCCTGCATTCAGGCTCCTTAGACAGCAGAAGAGAAAACAGAATAATTAAGGTTGGAAAAGTCCTCCAGATCACCAAGTCCAATTGTCTACCTGTAGCAGCACCAGCACAACGAGAAGATGTTACAAAAAGAAGAATGCTCACCTCTCTCTGAAGATCCAGGCTCACATTAAAACTCCACAGAAGAGCAGTCTCCAAAAAAGTTCCTTTCTCAGGGGCTGCCAGCCCTTAAATGAGGTCTAGGAGGAGTAGAGCCAGGCTCCACCCTTTCTGGTATCACAGGTGAATTACCTTCACCTGTGCTCCCAGGGCTGACTGGGTCTTTCCTCCAGGTGCTCAATCAGTGGTTCAGGCCCTGGCTTGGCAGTTCTGATACACTACCCATCTCCACCATGCTCATAACCATATTCCTTAGTGCCACATCTCCACAGTTCTTGAACACCTCCAGGGATGGTGACTCCTCCACTCCCTGCCAGTGCCTTTTTGCTTTCAGAGAAGAAATTTTTTCCTTATATCCAACCTGATCCTCCCCTGGCACAACAGCAGCAGCAGACACCACTGTGTTCCTGGCTGAAGGCACTGTGCTGCCCAAAACTTTTCAGAACCGTGCAAGTGATGAATTAGTTGCTTTCTGGAAGGGAACAGAGCCAAAAATAGCTCTCAGCTGGCCATGGATATCATCAGCTCCCATCACACTCAGGCTGGCCAGGTTTATCTCAGGATTATCGCTTTACCTGGGATCTTTAAATTGCCTCCAAACAGATACATAAGCACGTACAAGGTGCTCATCTCAGCTAGATGCCTTGTTGGAGGGATGGAGCATCTACTGCTGGCTGCAGTGCTGCCAGGTCTCAGATGATGTCTCATGGAATGGAGCCCCAGCCTTGGCCTGACCCCCCCAGCAAAAGGCTAATTTTGGTGGTGGGGGAAGATGAGCCAGCAAAAGGGAAAGGTAGAAGATGAGGTTGAACAGCAGGGTGCATGAAAAGACAGAAAGATTAATGGCAGGGACACAATCAAAAACAAAAGTTAAAATGGAAATGTTAATCATTTAAAAGAGGGTCTCAGTGGAATTACTTGCTTTATGGCTCAGAATAAAAAATAGAAGCGGAAAAGAAGGAGGAGAAGTCCCAGGAAGAATAATTTAGTGCTTTGTGTAATGAGCTGCCTTTCTTTTCGGTGGTTCAGTCTGGTGTCTTATCACTTACCCCGTGATTGACTGAGTCTTCTTTTTGCCTGCTCCTGCTAAATGGTGATTTGCCATCTGGTAGTCATAATTTCTTTTCTTTCTTTCCTTCTTTCTTTCTTTCTTTTTTTTCCTATATTCTTTTGTAATTAGAAAATAAATTACTTTTTTTTTTTTATTATTACTGAAAAAGGAAACATGTCTAGCATATTACTTACAGGTGAAGGCTGGTGTGCACAAGACAGCCAGGTAGATGGAAGGGACTTGACTTCTGCTCATTTGGACAGACCCTAGTCCATGTGCCACAAGATCCTTGGCTTCAGCAATGAGAAGGTGGGTGCTGGGGAAAGTTCTGGGTCAGGCACACAGCAGACAGTGAGTTTATTGAGATGTGTCAGTCTGTAGCTGAACAATGGCAAAGATGAAGGGCTGGTGGAGCATGATAGGAATGTGTGTCTGTGCATGTAGGATATTGGATGGAAACAAGTGGTCTGTGTATAAGGGCTATGAAGGCTACCAGCTTGCACTGAGCTTGGGATGGTGTACTGTGTTCAGTTTTGGGCCCCTCACTACAAGGAAGAAACTGTGGCCTTAGAGCATATCCAGAGAAGAGCAAGAGAGCTGTGAAGGATATGGAGCACAAATCTTATGGGGAGTGGCTGAGAGAACTGGAATGATTCTGTCTGGAGAAGAGGAGGCTCAGGGGAGACCTTATCGCTCTCTACAGCTCCCTGTAAGGAGGTGGTGATGAGGTGGGAGATTGGCCTCTTCTCCTAAGTGACAGTGATAGGATGAGAGGTAATGTCCTCAAGTTATGCCAGGGGAGGTTCAGGTTGGATATGAGGAAAAAACTAATCCTCAGAAATAGTGATGATACATTAGAACAGGCTGCCCGGGGAGGTCGTAGAGTCACCATCCTTGAAGGTGTTTAAGAACCGTGGAGATGCTGAGGGCCGTTGGTGGTGGGCATAGTGGGGATGGGTTGATGGCTTCCAAATTTTATGATTCTATGATTCTGTGTTTGTTGTCTGGCCCTCCAGGAGGTTGATGTCCCCATGCTGCTCACCCGTGAGGAACATTCAGCTCCAATGAGGACCAATATTGGACTCCAGCCCTGCTATATTTCTATCTCTACCAGCTATGGAGGGAGACTTGAACTTGCTGGATACTGAGTAGCCTACCCAAAACATGCCAAGGCTGATCTTGCTAATGCTCAATTGCAGCCCCACCTCTCTTCTGCTGGTCGCTGGCCCCATCTCTGCAGCCTGTGTACTTGCCTGGGCTGCCATGCTCTCATTATACCTTTGTACAGCTCCAGTCCTCTCCACTCTCATTTCAGCTGCCTCGTCAAGGTGCTCCAATAATTCAAGTGATAAATAATAACAATAATAATGCAGAAGTCGTTTGAATTGAGCTTGATTGCTCCGTGGCTGAATTTGGTCTTGATTGACTGAAAGCAGCGCATGCCCCTCGCTTGTTATCTTGAGAGCCTCATTTTCTCAGCGCGTTGTTGCTTCTCATAGCCTCAAACCGATCTGGCCTCGAGGCTGCTGCCAAAATGCAAACCTGTTGTTCCCAGAAAGACCCCACTCTGCAGCATGATGTGAATTTACACATGTAATGGAGGTAGAAAATGACAGAAAATATCCCACTTCAGTGTGGTGCCGAAAGAGCTGTGTGTTCCCCTGTTTTCTGGGCAGACTTACTGCTTTTGAGGGGGAAGATGCTAGGTGGAGGCCTTGGGAAAGGATTGATTGTTGCTGGTTAAACTGATTGCACGATACATTTCCAAATATTTGAAATGGGCGCTGGCTATAACACTTGTGTGATGGGTTATATTGCAAAGACAGACAAGCAGCCTCTAAATGAGCAAAAGATCTAGTGAATACCCTTTGAGCTGCTGGACATCAGCCTCTCCCCAGCTCTGCTCCTGTGCACTTGTGAGTGTTCCTACTGTTGGTCCATGCTGTGCTTCCAAGGGAGATGCCTATCTCAGCTATGAGTGGGGACATTTGGTGGCACCTTACAATCATAGAATCATTAAGGTTGGAAAGGTTTACTAAACTCATCCAGTCCAGCCATTCACCCATCACCACGATGGACACCAAAGCTTCTTTTGAGCCCAAGGAAGGAAAGGAGCAAATGATCTGTGAGAGGCAGAGGCTATGTTTCTCCTGGCTTAATGTGGATGAATGAAGAAAAAGGAGGGAAAGAAAACAACTCATTTTCACTCCTTCTCTAAGCAGCAGCCACAGTAGTGCTATAGCCAGGAGCATCTGAGAGAGACAGAAGGAATTCGAGTAACAAGAAAATGCTGCTGTACAGATCTAATTATAGCGATCGCACCTGTTAGAGAAAACAATAAGCAGCAAAATGAATAAACCTTCCTGGGACTCATTTTGTCAATGAAGCGTGACCACGTGGAAACTCCACAGAGAAAATCTACAAGGAAGGCTTCATTGTACTCAGACCTTCTTTTCAGGCTCCCGTCCTATAATCAGCAAAGTAACCAAAATAAATGGTGTATTTAGCCCTGGTTGTACGTGGCTGTATGAAAATGCAAATGGTCTGTTAACAGGATGTCTTCTCAATTTTGGTATTATCTCCCTGCGAGGCATATATATGTAGCTGCAAACTTCTGCTATTTAGGAGAGAGCTGTGCATGAGTCTTAAAAACCAAGCAAAACATGTCATTTATCCTAGGGATGGATTGAAGCAGGGGTAGCCTGTAATTCTCTCCAAAGGGAGAATCCTCCTCATGTCATGAATCTGCCACCAAATCATTCTATACCATGCAACATGGGGAATAAGTGCTCCTGCTCCACTGCCTTTACACCAGCCATGGTCCTGTAGACCTCAAGACATCCCGCCTTTGGGATGGGCGTTCTGATCCATGGGATTCCACCTCATCTATCCTTCTACTATAGCTATTTCCTGCTGCTGGCTGTCTTTGCTTCTGCTCCCCTGTACCTTTCTGAGCTCCCAATTATAGTTCTTCTGCACCGCAGAAGCACATCTAACACCAGGCTTTGCATGCTTCTGTGGTTAGAGCAGACAAAGAGGATTAGCCTTGTTAAAGAGTTAATGCTGTGGGTTTTTTTTTTTTTTTTCTTCTACTTTTTTCTCATATGCAGCTCCCTTCATCCAAAGATCTTAGAGCAGGGGAAGTATCATTAGCAGTGTCTTGTGGATGGGAAAATTGAAGCATGAGGAGATGAAATGAATTTGCTTATTGGATGATTATTCCTTTACTGGATTTGCCTCACATCTCATAGCCCACGTCCTGGGCCAAAGCCCTTTTATAGAACGTACTGCCCAGATAGAGGCAGAGCCAAAGAAACAAGGAACCCTATGATACTTAATCTCGTTTTGTATTTTCTTTTTCCAAGACCACCAGCATGTACAAAAGCACAAAGAAACATCCCAAGCTTTGCAACAAGTCTGACTGACAGCCCTAGAGGCTGCAGTCCCTGGGGCACTCACTGAATGCACTGAACAATGACGACTCCAAAATATTGACCCAACAGCATCTCGGTCGTGACTTGGGAAGGGAAAGATGAATGCACTGTTTGATGACTGTCACCATTGAAAATCATGCTGTGTTGGTGACAGCTGGAACAAGAGAGTTCGTAAGAGTCACTTGGTGATTCAAGCTTTGAGTTCCAGCTCCCAGGAGCTGCCATTAAATCACTGCTTGAGATAATGGTTTTCCACCACTTCCCAACCAAGTCTGACCTAGTAAGTAAAGGGCTCCGTAACTAATTAGTAATAACTGAAACCAAATCTAAAGGAAACTGGACAAATAATTCATAATGAATAATTTATTGGATGAATTTTGCCTCTTTTAATGTTTGTGAATTTTTTATGCTTGCAGTGTTGATTTCTCCAGCTAATTGGTTGTTTGAAATTCTTTGCTGATGCAAATACTCCTTGGTCTGCTCTTTTCTTCAGCAGAACTTCATTAATAGTATTGCCAATTCAAAGGGGGCTGACTAGTTTTAATTGGTCA